ACTTTATGTTTACTAGATTATTAACTAATTATTTTTTAGTTAATGTTGCCTGAAGGAACAGTGATTAAAAATAACCTGTAAAACTCTGATGGTTAATGTGACATGGTTGAAAATTTGGGTACACATAACTTTTGTGTTGGTGCACCTAAAAAAAAAAAAGGTGAGGTGCACCGGTGCAACCAGTGCAAGAAGTTAGTCTAGAGCCCTGCAGTAAAAGGGGATAAATGTATATTTTGTCTTTTGTAACCTCTGTCTTCTCATTTCTGATGCTGACTCTTGAATATCCTCAGGTTAGAAATGCTGATTACAAACACAAGCGTGAGCTTTTAAAGATAAGTTTTCCCTGTAATGCTATGATCCACAGCTGTCACCTCCTCATCAAGAGGAAAAAGGATAAAAACTAACTACTCTATTGTACCTGCTGGTTAGTGGACACAACGACACACAACAGAGCTCATGTTTTATACCAGTAGATCACAGATGCTTTAACTTTTGTGACTTTTTCACGGACTAGTACTAGCAGCTAACGCTAAAAACAAAGCAGTAAGCAGGAAGTGGAAGGGAGGAGCGTGGCATATAGGCTGTTTACATGTGAGAATAGCAGCCGTTTGTAGATTTATTGTGGGACTTTTTGTCAGGGAGCAGACCTCGACTCTACCAACAGCTGCCTGGTTTGCCCACCCTACAGAGGAGAGACCCCTCAGGTGTCTTCTCAAATCATCGTTATGGGACCACCGACAAAAACTCTTCAGGTTCTTGAATCAAGGTAAAACATGGAAACCTTTTTGAAAGTGTTTTTTTTTTTGTCTTGCATTAGATCAATTTTTTTGGTTCAAACATGTTTTAAAGTTTTTATTTTTGTTTTTATTTAAAGGAAACGGTGCTGCTGCCTTAATTTGGACGACTTCATAAAAACTGTTGAAGTTTTGGATTGAGTAAGAGAGAGTGTCCTCAGATTCTGTTTTCTCCTCTAATTTAATGTTTATTTAACTGAGGATCATTTCAGGATTGTGTATTTCATCATTTATGTTCATTTAAGAATGTCTAATTTATTTATAAAACACCCTACACAGGTGTACACTGAAATAATCCTCTCCACTCAAAAGTGTTACTAAACCCAGGTGTTTGACCCACATTTCTGTTTAAATATCAAGTCTGAGAAAATATTCTCTTAAGATGTTGGAGATGAGTTGGTGTTGTGTAGAAAAGTTGCTGCTTTGTTGTTCTGTTAATGCCAGGCAGGACTTTTTATTCTTTTTGTCTCGTCCAAAGCACAGTGAGACGTTTGTGTTAAAGTGTGCACCGCCGGCTGATTGGTTTGCCAACAGRCCGCAGTGTTAAGTGCTCTACCTCATGTTGTAGTGAACCTGTCCGTCCACCAGAGGCAGACGTCTGAAGGTGTTTCAGGTGTGTAGACGGACACATGTTGGCGTGTCGCAGCGTTACACACAGGCTGTGCCACACAACTACTGATGGCTGCAGATTGGTTTGTTCAGCCTAGTTTTGACCACAGAGCAGAAGTTTACTTTGAAATGTTATCGTTAACTACGTGTGCCTCAGGCTCGTCGGCTGGAAGAGGAACCAGCTGGTTCTGCTGCACGTTCAGGAGCTTCCTTTTACCGCCCAGTCTTTATCAGTATTTTGTTGCAAGTGAAAGCGGTCACCATGAAGTGAGCTTTCACACGTCGTGGCTGTGCAGTCTGGGACGTGAAAAAGACTTGATGAATGACCTGTTCACTGTGAAGAAAACTGGTCTCAGGTCGACTCGTTCACACAAGTCAGCTGGCTCATTTAGTGTTTCTACCACTTGGATAGGCTGGAGACTAATTTTTTTCTTTTTTTTTTTCTTTTTGGTTATTTTTTTGTTTGTTTGTTTAGTATCAAATTTGTAAACCTAGTGTAAAAATGAAAGTATTGTTTTGAAGTTTGTGACATTTCAATAAAGTGTGAAGCGAACAATTCAGTTAGTTTTTGTCGTGTGTTGCTTTGCACACATTCAGTCACAAGCCTTAATGTGATTTCACTGAGTTACTGAGCCATATTTTGTCAGATCATTTTTAAAGTGACGACGTGTCAAATAATTAGGACCATGTTAGTCATGAAGCACAGTGTAGAGAAAAGACAAACCTTCACCAAGGCTAGGCTAATGGCTAACCAAACAAAYGCCCCTTGTTTTTGTTTTTCGGGTTTAGAAAAGGAAGTAAACCTTTTCTAAGTAAACTTTTGTATGTGTTTTATATATGTGTGTGTTTTATGATGCTGAGGTGTGTAAGTGTTTGGATCAGCATGTGCAGCCTCAGCACCAGCAGTGTTAACAGTCKACCCTCAGCTCTCACTTTAACACAAACTGTTCAGTCAGAACAGCTAAACAAACGATGCAAAGAGTAGAGAGTTATTAGCTGTCAGTTTGTCTTTTTGAAATTAATTAGATTAAAAGAAAAAAAACAAGCTCTTGTTTGRCTGTTAACCTGGCCCAGATTAAGATGAACTCTTTCTCCAAACACTGGGCTCTTCGTCTTCAGTCACACTTGATAAATTATTGAATTATTTGGTAAAACTTTTATTTTTTATAGTGCCCTGAGACAAAGTTTGTTGTGAYTTGGTGTCACATAATTAAACTGAATTGAAACCTGTTAAAAATGACCCAACTATCCTTTTTATAATATTTTGGGGAGTGGTGGAACAGAGGTTAGAGAAGGTGAGCCTGTGATCCGAAGACCGCTGGTTCAACTCCCTGGACTGACCAGCCCCACTTCCTAAAAAAACGGCAGCCCACTTCTGCACATGTGTGCTCAGTGTTCACATGTGTGTGCTCRGTRTTCACATGTGCAWTGGGTRAAAAGCAGAGAATTCTTAAATTTCCCCAACGAGATCAATAAACTATATCTACTGGGAAGCATAACTACTAGAAAGAAGATACAAACTTGTTAGCAGTTCTGTCGTTCCTCTTAATTATTTAAACTTGTTTATAATTTCTTTCCATCCATTTTCATTTAGTCTTTTTTTAAAATTAATCAGTGTGCACTGCGTGTGATTTGTTTCCCATCCAAGTCATCTCCACCTTTACGCTTCTCCTCCTGCATACTTTGTCCTAGAGCTGCCATTTTAATTTATATCTATAAAGCCCCTGTGCCAAATGATGGCTATGCCTTTTGGTGCTTGTACAACTTATAGTTTTTGAAATAATGTTTAATAATTTATAATGGGAGTCAATGGAGCCTTGAATTGGTCCAATACTGCCCCCTGCTGTACCTACTCAGTACTGCATCATAGTTTAATAATATTTAAACTCAGTATTTCAGTGTTTACAATACTAGTATAGTATGATTGTGTTTTGATATTTTACTATAATATTGTCCTAATATTGCTTTATTGTTTTAATACATTGCAGTTTAGTGTCAACAATTACATTGGAAATTTGGCCTCTTTCTGCACACATACAAACCAACTAATCCTCTCTGCCACAGCTCCAATGGTCTCATTGGTTAATGCCTAGAGCTTTCATGTGGGAGATCAGGGTTCAAAACCCAGTTTCAGCTACTTTAACAAAAAATCTCTTCAAACTTCATATTGTCACAAAATCACCTTAATTACAAACACCTGCTGACGTGACAGGCACAAGCTGGTATAGAAAACACATTTGAACTTGGTCAAAGTTCATTCTG